TCTGCACACGGCTTTTGGACCTAGTTATCGGTCCTAGTTGCAACAGCTGTGCTCCGGTGATGACTTTTCTTCCGTTGGTTGTTCCTATCCTGCAAGGCTCATTCACGTGGTTGCCTTCATCTAGTTCATTTGCTCGCGGCTTGGGAGCAACTGGGGCATTCCCCCCTCCTTCTCCTATCTTCGATCTTATCCCCTGTTCCCCTTGTCTCTGTGGTCTTACGTCCTTATTCCTTTCATTAGTCAGATCTGCCTGGTTCGGGGTACCCACTCTCTCATTCGGGCCTCCACTCGCTATGGTTATCTCACTGTTGTTCCTACAATATATGAGAGAGAGAAAGAGAGAGAGAGAGAGAGAGAGAGAGAGAGAGAGAGAGAGAGAGAGAGAGAGAGAGAGAGAGAGAGAGAGATCTGTAGAGATCTCTACCAATTATTCATTTGATCTTTTTTTGTTATATGTAAAGATTTTTAAAAAGCGTGAAGCAAGAGGGTTGATTTATAGGGATTCTGTTTTCGGCTGATTTAGGAACCTGAGCATAAATCAAATCAAACATTGTTCATCTTTGTTTATTAAACTAATTCAAGTAACAAGCTTGTCTTGTATAATTGCCATTTTATTTTTTCTTTTAATACTTTTGTTAGAATTGTTCTGTTTACCAAAGCAAATGTGAAATGTTCATTCAGAAATCTGTGGCAAAACTAAATCTATTCTGGGCAGCCTATCTTGATATGATCTCTGATAACCCAAGCATGAGTTTATAGAAACTTAGAGAAGCAGTTGCTGTTGGAATATCCTGGCCAGATTTTTTCCATGGAGACAAGAAGAATCAGGAATGACTCTGATCATTGCCACTAATGCCTTGGTTATATCTTGATTGGACAATTGCACTTAGATAGGTTAGAAGGACTATGCATTAGAACACTTTATCTATGGGACTACCTTCTATTATCAGGTAATTCCCATGTCAAGATGTCCTCCCTGGAGGCCAGGAAAAAGAAGCCAGGGAGGACGTCTTGACAGCCCATCCATTATAATTCAGAATAACTCAAAAGGACACTTTTTGAATTCCTTGATCAGGGATCACAACTTCATACCTTTTCTGTTACTTCTCCTCTCTTTTGGAAAAGTTTTTCACTTGAGGTCTAACAAAAACAATTTTCTTATATCAATATTATCTTTTTTTTAGCTGCAACATGGTCATCTTTGTATTTTATAAGTCACTTATGAAAGAATGAAACCTTTCTGTCAATCTGCCTTAACCAAAGCACTTACTTGTGAATTAGCTCTGCTACTCATACAGATATCTTCTTGTAGTTCTTGATTTTCTTTAACTGGTTCATACAAACTGTCCATAGAACCCTCCTGAAAAGTAAATAAATCATGTGTGTCATACTTGTATCTATTTTTGTTTCGAATTTATTCATTGATTGATCATATCATCTAATTTTCAGTTCACAAGAATAGGATACAAAATAATTATAATATTATAAATTATTTGTAAAATTTCCAAGACAAGAACTATGGTACCAAATTATTTAAAGATCTTGAGGTGCTATTGATTGATTGATAAAATTAATATGGCTATCCAAAACAAACATTGCAGCAAATAAGAAAAACAATCAACAAATACATCATAAGGAAAACAATAAAATATATTAAAACCAACTAAAAACAATACAATGGCAGCCATACTAAAATATATTTCAACTTATCCAGTTGATACTCAAATTAACCTCACCCAAGGTCATGGAGAAAGAGCCAAGTCTTAAATGCCTTTGTGAAGACCTATCAAAATCCCTTATATTTAATAGTAAGTCTGTTCAATAATATTAAAATATTTTACTTATGTATTCATGGAGTGCTGTCACTTCCCCAAACTCATCATAATACTAGGAAACGATACAGGTAAAATCAGTCAGATCAAAATGGAACTGAGTTGTGGAACAGAAAATTTTAAAAAGCAGCAAAGCAGCCTTGTAATGGATTCCAGTTAAAAAGGGAGAAGCCAACATGCAACAGACTGTTTGGAAAATAAAAAAAAGTTCAGGGAAAAAATACAAGGAGTACAAATACAAATTATTATTATTATTATTATTATTATTATTATTATTATTATTATTATTATTATTATTATTATTATTATTATTATTATTTATTGAATTTATATCCCGCCCTTCTCCTTGCGGACTCAGGGCGGCTGACAATCAATTTAAAAATACACCAAAAACAATTACAAAATTTAAAATTAGTTAAAAAGAAATATTTAAATGTTGTCTAATTAAAATATGATTAAAACCCCTCTAAAAATTACCCTAGGCCAGTCCCACTTGTTGGAATAGCCATGTCTTAAGGGCGCGGCGGAAGGAAGGGAGATCAGGGATCACCCTGATCTCTGGGGGCAGCTCATTCCAGAGGGTGGGAGCTCCCACAGAGAAGGCCCTCCCCCTTGGGGTCGCCAGCCGGCACTGTCTGGCCGACGGCACCCTGAGGAGACCCACCCTGTGGGAGCGTACAGGCCGATGGGAGGTAATCTGTGGCATAGTCATGATTGTCAGAGAAGGAATAAAAGATTGTGAAAAAGGCTCATGCCAAGAACATTTGAAAAAAATATATAATGTATGGCTGTTTGTATGATCAAATTAGAAATCTTCAATCCAATATGGAAGATTATAGTTCATAATTGTGAACAAGAACGTAAGTATAATTGTTATAAGGAAAGCTGGTGGGATGGGAAAAAGTCAGTGAATACAATCATGGGAAGGGAGAATTGGGAGGATGTTATTTTTTATGCCAAGGAGCTTATAAAACCTCATATATTACAAAACATTGTGATACCAAGATCTGCATGACAATAACTGGTCAGAAATGTAAATCTATAGATATGTTGATGACCATCTGAATGAAATATTGGGATTAGTGTCAAGAGGTTGAAATAAATCATGGAGCCATGCAAATGAAAACCCTTTGTAACAATTGGAGACTTTAATTGCCATAATAGTGGTCTAGTATATTCATGTTCTGGCCATAACAAAAAAGTTTGTTTATTTTTTAATTTATATGTGGAATATAAAAAGGTTGGTTGTTATAAATTGATTAGAATATAAATTAGTTGGTTTTGGAACAAACCAGAAAGGATATATTAGACATAATCCTAAGCAGTGACTAAGATCTTGTGCAAAACATAAACATCGTGGAGCCAACAAGAAACTATTATCATAATACTATTAGTATTATGTAGTATAATATAAATTATTATCATAATACTATCCAGCTGGCTCAGGAATTCTGGGAATTGAAGTCCACGAGTCATAAAAGAGCCAAGGTTGACTACCCCTGATTTAAATGATCACTATTATGAAACTGCTGAAATATATTTCACACTAAGAAGTGTTTATGCTGATTTAACTACATCCAAGTAATCCAATCATATTAATGACGCTTCACTATTTTACATCGAAGAAGCATATTAACCAGGAGGGACCAGGAGTCATGCCTTCTCTGCCATAGCCTCTCTCCCCTCTGGAACATTCTCCCTCCAGAAATAAGGATAGCCTTTTGGAAGATCTTGAAGATCTAACTATGGGCTCAAACCTGGGATCCTGAATATATGAAAAGCCCAGTTTACTGATTATGTTGATACCAATAAATTATAGTATCACTTGGCTGCTAATTGTATCTATTTTTTTATTTTTTATGTATTGTATTACCCAAAGTCATTGGTTTAAGATAGGTGGCTACATAAATTGAATAAATACTATCTATCATTTATCCAAGATGGAAGATATTTCATTTTCTAGCTTTGTAAGAAACTCATTTTCTTGGTTCATGTTGCTTTCCTCTTGGTATATGTAAGGGTCTTTGGAATAGTTTGGTACTTATGCTACGTTGAAAGAAACCTTGACTTGAAAAAGTGAAAACTATTCTGAATAAGACTGAGCCTTCATTTGATACATTACGGGGACTAGATAGCAATTTGATTATCAGTCACCTGTTTCTTAAAACTCCTACATAACCAGAGTCAGTAAGCAAGACTAACAGCTTAAAATCAGATGTTCATTGTTTTATACAATTTTCATATGATACCATTTTAAAAACAAAATTATGAGTCACTACTGAAAGATGATGTTTTATAAGACAGCTTGCAAAAATGACAAATGCATTCCAAATTAAGCCTGCTGTACTGTATAATTGCCAGTGAATCAGCACATGGTCCTAGAAATATGCAGCAAGTATTTCTGATGATAAAATGTCAGTCTTGGATTACCAGAGCAAGTGGAATTAATTTGCAAATATTAACTTGCAGTTGGATATGCTCTACAATAGATAATGACTGAGGATAAAATATAATCCAAGTTGGGACAACAATGTCCTATTAAACATACAGTATTTAAAAATTGTTAGTTAATTTATCTGAGCTAAATTCTAAATTATACCAAATGTCCCTATTTCATGAAATACAACAAATATTTTAATAAATATTATGAAGTTATATCAGAGGGAAAATGCAATAGATAAAGCCAGAAGAATTTTGCTTATATATCTTCTGGTTGATGTAAAATGTATCAATATTTGTAGGGGATTATCCCTCATATTGCAATTATATTTAATTTTTCTGTACTAAAATTAAAGTATATTCTGTACTTGTACAGTACTTCTAGCATTTTTTGTAATATTATTTTATGGAAAATATCTTTTATTGGTTTGTTTCATGCATTCATAATTATAATTTATTGTTTAGATACTATTTTATTGTGTAAAAGAATTTGATATCTTAACACTTTATTATAAATCAATACATGGAAATAGAATATTTTCATGTACTGAACAAAATCAAAATATCATCACTGTTCTGTATTTATCTATAATAAATAAATAAATAATACAAGATATAAATATGATTTATCATAGAGAAATAAGAAAAATGTTTTAAAAATAGGTATTGCTACCAAAATACAGATCTGATCTGATCTTTAAGGCATATAAAAGACCACATGTAGGTGGAACTGCTTTTTATACACATAATATCATTTTACAGAAGTACTCGCAGTATAAATACCTAATCAACATTTTAAAAGTTTATGACACTGAGATTGAACTTTAGAAATGTTCTCTATCAAGCATGATAAAACTGTGTATTTCAATTTTTTTCTAACACATTTTATAAGGAATGAAATTACATCTTTAATTCATGCTACAGAATAAATTAGTTTACATATTTATGAGCAAAAAATATTTCTACCAAATATCTACTAATATTTCTATCAAATTTTGAAAATTACTTTCAAAATTACCTCACAAAATATCTGCAAACCATATCATTGATTTATTTTTAAACAAGCCTTTTTCTTTGCTGCTTTGAAATCTTATTTTATTACACACGTTACACATTGTCTTTCTAACACCTTTAATATCTCTCATCTGACGCAATCTTATGTTTTTAAACTCAGTACTGGAATCAGGAAAAAAAAGAAAGACTTACCAGTGAAAAGCAGAAAAAATTCATTTTGGAACAAGGACAAAGGTATTCAGCATTTAGAAATGTTATACTGTTTAAAAGAATCCTTGCCACATAATGTTGCTTCTTCTTGTCCCTCCCAGCTGTTAAACATTTCTCTCTAGAGATTAGAGCAGGATAAAATCCTTGCAATAATCCACTGGATTTCCAGACCATTATCAAATGAGATACAGGCTTGCCTGGCTGAACTCAAGCAGTTCCCTAAATTAATTGACAGTGTTTATAAACAAATCTAGACATGAAATAAAGGAAAAAAATGATGCTGAAGCTTGAATTTTCATTGACTTAAAATGGATTTTATGTTTCAAAGATAGTGAATGACTTCATTTATATTTCTACAATTCCATTATCAAATATGCCTTTATTAAAACTCTTCAAAAGAGTTGGAATAACTTCCACCATTCCTAGGCAACTTGACTAATGATGGCTGGAAACCTCTAGATTGGAACTGCAATACAGGTTAATATCACCTGGTTAAACTTCAGAAAGTAAGGTATATAATGGCTTATCTAGTTGCATACTCCTATGGATAAATTTGTGCCTTTTGAATTTAAACTATCATGTACTTTTCAGAAAAAAAGCATGGAAATAAAAAGTGAATGTAAATATTGCTGAGAGTAGAATGTGCTATTTGTTCAGATTCAAGTAGAACAAGTATTTTATATCATAAATTGTAGGGAGTCTCTCTTTGCTCAGTGCTTCTGATGATAAAATTGTTATTAAGCTGCCTTACCATGGTTAGGCATGGTTAGACTGCTTATGATTAGATCGCTTTTTCATAGTGACCAAAGATTCAAGAATCAAATTGAATAGCAAAAGAGAACGTACACAGCCCTGC